CCCGATCATCCAAGATATGATGACATCAGCAGTCGGGAGACTGCTAATTTTTCGGAACCCCCTGCGTATCACATATGTGATAAGCTCCGATCCGTCCCGCGCGGCTTGCCGTATCCCTGAGGAAAACCCCCCCGGAAGCCCCGAGGCACGGATGCGGACAAACAGGGGTTTTTCTTTCTTTTTGCTTTTGTTTTCTTTTCGAAACGGCTTTTTCATTTTGTTTGGTTAATAATTCCTGCGCGGACGAATAGCGGCCGCGGCATGAAAACCAAGAAACGGTTTCGGTGGGGACTTTTTGAATTTTTGCGCGCGCGCGCCTAAGCCCGACTTCTTCGCGCGTCTCGCGCCCCCGTTTTTTGCTTTGCATTCCCGCGCCATCTTCCCTTCTTGCTACGCGCATTTCCCCCATGCCAGACTCTTCATCTTCCCCTCTGCCCAGCTCGATCCTTGCCCCATCTTCTCCGCGAAGTGATTGGCCGCGTAGTTGGGATGCTCGGATCAATGTGGAGAGCGGGAAACCGCGCACTACTTGGACGAACACCCCAATCACGTAGGACCATGCAACCCCGCGGGTCGAACCCCCTAACTCCCCACCTTTCTCCTGTCCTGCTCATCTACACCCTGCGCTGCCCGCACCTCGCGCTGACAACCCGCCGCCTCCCACGCTATAAATTCGCGCAACCCTCTCCTCTCCCTCTCTTTGATCTCGACTGCAATGTTGTGCGAGCTATGCGCGAAAGTCCGCGGCGCCGAACAGGCTCGACGAGCCCAAGGACGGGCGGAGTGACGACGTGGGGTGGACCCGGGGCGACACAGTCGGAGGGACCGAGCAGTGGTGGGGATTTGACGCCGGCCACGGCAGGGCCTTGTGGCTATGGTGGTCGGTGGTCTTGGGAGGTTCGAAGGCTGCGCCTGGGGGCGGCCGTTAATTGATTTTTTTGTGTACAAGAAGGAATCGCTTTTATCTCCATTGCTGCTTTGTCTATGCATGTCGTGTGTGTGAAGCCCCGAGTGATGGGAGCTGGTTGTGCGCATGAGTGATGTCGAAGGTCTATGGATGATTAGATGTATTGTCAAGGGTTGTTGATTGTTTGCATGCATGTGTGTATGTACTTGTCTGGGTGGGGACGGGGAAACTGAACTCCGGAACCGTCTGCCTAGGAGTACGAGTGTGTTAATCCCGTTGTTCCCCTCCCTTCCGCGGCCCTTCGCGCGCGCGCACGCGTTCTCAGTGTAAGCTCCCTCCCTCTCTCTCCCGCCTTCCTTTTTGAGCTTCTCGTCCCCGTACCGGTGACGTCAACCGCCTGCGTCCGCGCACGCGGTCGACGCCCCCGCAAGGAGAAGAGAACTTCGATTTCGCCATCTTCCTCCGACGCACTAACCCTGAGAGAGAAGGTTGCATCGAGTGTTGTATGGAGTCGATGTTGGTTCGGATGACCGGGAGCGCGGGATCTTGCCCGTGTTCATCGCCTACCTCCGATTGTCTCATCTCGCTACCGACCTTCCTCATCATAGATGACAACAGTGTCTACTGCGATTCGGACGTACGGCGCGCGCTGAGGCGAATGGAGCAAGTGTGCTGGCGAGACCCGCCTCGGGGTTGTGATATAAGGGGGAACGGGTTTGTCTTGATTGAGCGTTTTGATTCCCTGACTCTAATATTGCCTTATACGAGTTTGACTGTGCTACCCTGGTCGGCCACTCATGCCACGTGGCGGCCGCAGTTTGATTGTCGCTGGTGTCGCCAGGGGGACTCGTGTTGTTGGCAATGACTGGTCCTGGGTTACGAGGGAGCGACACGTTTCCCTGAGCTTTCCCGTAGTATGGGGGCGCTGCCCACGCAATTTCGAATTGGAAGCCGGCGAGTCCTCCCGCCGCTTTATCCTCCCGGAACCTTCCACGCGGACTCTGGGAGTCCGACGCTGAGGCTTGAAGGCCTCGAACCAATCACCTGTACAGCAAAGACCCGACGGTTCGGTCACTTCGTGAGGCCAATGACGAGGCCTGAAGGCTTCGAATCCACCACCTATCCCCCAAACCCCTGACGGCCGAAGTTTTGTCTCCCGCCGCCATGGCCCTCTCCCCTTGAGGCCTTTTTCCGTCCTGATGCACGACGGCAGTTCGTTTTCGCGGAAACCCTTCTGATCTTATCGTTTCGGAGCGATCCGACCCCCACGGGACTTCGCGATGACAGTTTGACTCCGGGGTAACCTCTGGCACGAAACGAGAGCCTCCCGTTCCGTCCGGGAGACTCAACCCCTACGACCAAAAATCCCCGTCCACGCCCCTCCTAGAACTCTGATCGGCGACCCAGTACGGGAAGCCGCGAGGGGGCGTGAGGTTGCGTATCACACGCTATGTCGCGGGATCGTTCGTGTGAGGCAGAGGTAGTAATTCGTCGTGGGAGGCTTGAGGAGGGGCAGGGTTCTCGCGGCGAACTGGTGGAGCGTGACAACGACGCAAGCACGATCAGCAGTTATGCCAACACCGATTTCAGCACAGATAGCAATGACATCGCCTGCAATTATAACCACAACACCAACGGGCACAACAACGACGACGATAATAAGTGTGTCGATGATGATGGCGGTGACGATTTCCTTAAAGCGGGCAATACTGCTCTCTTTGACACTGTTGCCGATGACAACACTAACAGTACCAATATCAACAAAACCAGCGACAACAACAACAACAACAACAACAACAACAACAACAACAACAACATCAACCTCGACGCAGGGGTCGAGGGCATCGGCAATACTACAACGGTTGAGCACGACACTGGTGCAAGCGTGGAAATCGTGAATTCATGCATGCCGAACTACAACAACAATAACAGCAACAACAGCGACGATATTTACAACAACAACAGCAACGACAAAAACAATATCAACAATACTGATAACGACGGTCTGGTAAGCGTGGCAGGGGTCTCTGTTCTCGCCCACCCCTTCTTCTCTCCCCCGCTGTCCTCTCTCTCTTGCAATCGTGTTGACGATGTGGGGGAGGGGGAAAGGGCTGTTTGAATGGTTCGTTCGGCATATTGGAAGGGCATGGGGGACAGTTGGGGGTGGGATGGGTGCGTGAGGGGGTGGG